TGAAGTTTGCAAAAGAGCACCTGGATGTTCCACAGCACTACTGGCAAAATATACTGTGGACAGATGAAACCAAGATTGAGTTGTTTGGGAAGAACACACAACACTATGTGTGGAGAAAAAAAAAGGCACAGCACACAAACATCAAAACCTCATCCCCACTGTAAAACATGGCGGAGGGAGCATCATGGTTTGGGGCTGTTTTGCTGCCTCAGGGCCTGGACAGATTGTTGTCATTGATGGGAAAAGGAATTCCAGAGTTTATCAAGACATTTTGCAGGAAAACGTACGACCATCTGTCCGCCAACTGAAGCTCCGTAGAGGATGGGTGATGCAACAGGACAATGACCCAAAGCATACAAGTAATTCAACAAAACAATGGCTGCAACAGCACAGAATACGCCTTCTGGAGTGGCCCAGTCAGAGTCCTGACCTCAACCCGATTGAAATGCTGTGGCATGACCTTAAGAGAACGATTCACACCAGACATCCCAAGAATATTGCTACACTGAAACAGTTTTGTGAAGAGGAGTGGTCCAAAATTACTCCAGATCGTTGTGCAGGTCTGATCTGCAACTACAGGAAACGTTTAGTTGAGGTTATTGCTGCCAAAGGAGGGTCAACCAGTTATTAAGTCCAAAGGTTCGCATACTTTTTCCTCCCTGCACTGTGAATGTTTACATGTTATGTGCAATTAAACCATGGCAACATCTAATGTTTGTGTAGTATTATGTTCAGCAGACTGTGTTCTTCTATTGTTGTGACTTAGATGACGTTCAGAGCACATTTTATGCCCAATTCATGCAAAACTCCACATAATCCCAAGGGGTTCACATACTTTTTCCTGCAACTGTAGTTAAAATCCCCCATTATCTTTGTCCCAGCCCTTTCTATCTGTGGAAGGAGCTTAGTCTTCACTTCCTTATTAACACTGGGTGACCTATAACAAGCTCCAATAATCAACTTTGGATTATGCACACCCATATGATAGAAGCATCAGCACACTCTCCATCAACAAGGTCCTCTTTCACACTTGATTCGAGATGACTTTTCACATAGAGACATACACTGCAACCTTTTTGTTTTACCATGTCTCTCCTGGATAAAGCATAGACAGGAATATGAATAGTCCAAACATGTGAAGACTGAAGCCAATATTCAGCAATACCAATCATAGTTCTCTCCATGCACCAAAGCTTCCAACGATCCTGTTTTGCTTTACAGACTTCTGGCATTGGTGAACAAAATCATTATCACATTTTGCTCCTGTGTTTTGCATATCTTTTTTAGTAACACAAGCAGTACTATAATTTCCAATGGTTGTTTGTAACATGGTAACCTTCTTATCGCCTGCCATAACCCTACTCTCATCTTTCCCCATTCCACCCCTCCATTAATGTCTGACCCTTGACTGACCAGTCTACCCCACTGAATTCTAGTTCACCCCCCCCCCCCCCCCCCCCAATCATAGTTTAAATACTCCTCTACCTTTCCCATAAACCTCTCCCCAAACACAGTAGTCCCCCTTCTATTTAAGTACAAACCATCTTTGGCATATAGGTTGCACCCCAATGAAGTCAGCCCAGTGCTCTAGAAACCCAAATCTCTTACAACAGGTCTTTAGCCATGCGTTCAGTTAGGCTTCCCCCTGCCTTTCCTGTGTTGCACATGGCGCAGGCAATATTCCAGAGAATAAAACCTTGGACATCCTTCCCTTCAACTTGCAGCCTAGTTCTATAAATTGATTCTTAAGGATCCTCCACCTTTCATGTATTTGGATACTGGTTCCACCATAGACCAAGACAGCTGGGTTATGTCATGTCTGCCCCTCCCAGTACTTTATCAATGCGGCCCACCACATGCAAACCCTGGCACCAGGGAGACCGCAAATCATTTGGTTGAGGTGATCCTGGCAACAAATTATTCTATCAGTCCATTGGATTATAGAATCCTATACTACTACCACCACCAACTGTCTCGGCCTACCTACACTACCCTCACCCTCCCCTGCCTGTTAGGGGTAGATGTTCTTATGGTACTCACAGCATCTCAAGCAAAAACCAAAAATAGTGTGGCATATATCATATTAACAAGTGTAATATAAAAATACAGTGCTCCCAAATTATCAAAAAGTTTACAAAAACTGGAGCAAAAAATAAAATAAATATATGTTTAAAGGCATTAAAAAGCTACTTGAAGATGGTGGAATTCTTTGTATGAGCTTGCTATACACACTGCTCAACAGAACAGCATGTACAAACTGAACCCTGTGTGAACCAAATCTAAAAGGCTGACTAGTTTTTAAAAAAGGTACACCCTTAAAGCAGTTATCCTGATGTCATGGAAGAGTAATTTACTGATCTAGAAGAAGATAGACATGTGAGGTCAGTGGACCTCTGACCTAATTACTTATTTTCTGCTGGAAAGTTGCTAAGGTTATCCTACACAACATATTTCTGATAGATTTGGCTAGTTAGATTAGCAAGTTAGCAATAACTGTAGTGTCAGCGGCCTACTTTAACCACTTCCCACTGGCTGTGTGCATATATGCAGCCATTTCGACGGGTGGGCTTTAAAGCGGAGCAGCTGCATATGTGTGTGTCCCCATGTAAACATTTTACTTTGTTGATTGTGCGCTCCCTGCGCAAAAACAAAAAAAATAAACAAAAAATAAACCAAAAATAAAACACAACCTAACAAAACTACAACAAAAAAAAAAACATAATTCATAAAAAACCCAACGTAAACAAAAAAAACCATAACTTCCCAGCACAGTAACCGACGGGTACCGGCAAGCTCCTGATGCATACTTGCGATTAGAAGCTTTCGGACCATGTGACTGCTAATCACAGATTGGAATGCCCTCCTTTGCCTTGCGGAATTTATAACCTATGAATAAAAACGTAAAAAAACAAAAAAAAAAAAAAAAACAAACAAACGAAAAATTATGTGTATACTACAACCAAAATCTAAATGCTGCTGTTCATGAAAAGGAAAAAAAACAAACAATTATATATAAACACTCCACAGCGCAAAAAAAAATTATTAATGTGTAAAAAAAAGCCCAAATAAAGTCCCAAAGATATATAAAAAAACATATATAATTTGTGCTCAGTCCAAAAATAGTGCTCAAAAAAAAGAATCTTCAACCAAAATGTGCTCACACCATCCATAATTACTGCTCCAATCCCCACTCACCAGATGGAATGGACTCTTTGCTGGTATGGCTAAAGAGTCAAGCAAGCTTTATAGACTGGGCATGTCCTCCCCAGATACCTCTGCACTTGATATCCTGGTTCTGCTACCTGCCATTGCTTGCATTTCCACTCTTGAACTTCCTCTACTGGTGACAGTCATTCCAAGCCCTCATCCCTGCGCATGAGCCCCATCCAGTCCTACAATAGCAATACGATGAGGATCCTTCAATGAGGCTTGCTGATAAAATGAAGATATGTGGGAAGACCATGCGGGCTTGTAAAAACTATCCCTCTTTGAATTGCTACTGGTACATTCAGCAAGTAATGTCTTGCAGTTTTTATGAACATTTACAGCATAGTCTGTCCGCTGTCTTCAAGGACACCGACTGGATTTCACCTGAATTTCGAACCTGTCAGTCAAAGGGCCAAGAGGCGGCGGTGGGAAAGGGTTAAAAACAAACCTTCAATTTGTATCTAAACAAGTAGGCCATCATACTAGTTAGTGGCAAAAGTTTCCTAATTAAATCTAAGGAAAATCTAACTAGTAAGTGGCCAGCTCACTAGTTAGATAACAGTCACTGGGTCTTCAAAATGAAGAATCAGCATTTCCGGCTCCCATGTTTCTACCCTAATGGTCTTGTTTTAAACATAACAGACCCCAAAATATTTTACCCCTCGTATGCCATAATTATACCACTGATTCAAGTGTTAAAACTCATTAAACTGATCACACAATATTTTACCTTAAATAAAAATATATTTAAAAACAAAAAAAGTTTAAAGACAAAGCACAACTCCAGCCAAAGGTTTAAATTTTATTTGTTAATAGAGCAAGTAATAGTCAGAACCTCTGTAAAGTTTTAGTTGCTGCTTGTGTCTGCACTGGGGAGATTTTCCTCTCCCTTCTACAGAGACACAAGGACAAGAAATATGAATGAACACAGGTGACAGCAGGACAGAAAAAGAGCAACGAAAACCATACAGATGTTCTAAAAACAATCCCTTTCTAAATAAAATTTGCTATTATACCCATTCCATCACTTCCTGTCTCTGTGGCATTCTGTCATCTGGACATGATTTGAGGTCAAATCTCCTAGAGGTGCCAGAGGTTCTAACCCTTCCTCCCTCTGTAGAAAACGAAATATAAAGTTCTGGCTGGAGTTAGCCTTAAAAACGTGATAATAAAATACAATCTAAATAAATAACATTTCTCACATAAAAAAAAAAAAGCTCTCAACCCACCCATAAAAGTCCAAATAATTAATGGAATACATTTACAGAGAAATCATTCACAGTCTCAACATGACATACAAACCATCATGTAAGTAGCTATGAAACTGACATCTCATTTGCATTGAGAAAAACATGTTGTTATGCTTTCTGGTTCAAGTAAGCCAAATTAGATCCAATTCTGAGAAATGGAAAATGACCCATCTTGAATTTTTGGTCCACTGACTTAGTGCATTCTGAGTAAAACCCTCTTGTAAATTATTTCAAGTCTCGAACAGGTAAGTGTTCAATAAGATATTTAAGGTTCTTTCCACACTTCTGCAGTCTGCGTGATTCAGTATTGGTGATTTCTTTGGAATCTCTGATGTTTGTTGCAGATTACGTAGCATCACTTAACCAAAAACAGTATGGAATATGCAAGGCTATTAGTGTATGATCTCCAGAGGGATAATTTTCTCCATTTTCAATTTGGAACGATTTGGTCTAGAATAAAAAATTTCGGATTGTCCATGTATAATCAGCACAGTCCTAGACTAAAACACCACCATACAAGATAAAGGTCTTTTAGAGTCCAGTTTAGGTGCGTGTATCCAAGCTCCTCATATAATCCTGCAAGGCCTGAAGTCGGGAATCAATGTCTGATAAGTCAGAGACTGCGTCAAAGCGGTTTTCTGCATTGGGTTCAAGAAAAATTTTATTAGATTTGATATATACAGAAATATATACCCCAACTTGTTTAAAAGAAAACTACATTTTAGATTCTGGGGTGCAAATACATGAATGCAGCACATAAACAGATGCCTTCTTACCACTGAAAAATGAAACCTGACAGATGGCTATGAGCAATGGCTAGTCCACATATAAAAAAAATTTGAAATGAGAAACAAAGCTACCTTTCTCAATTTTCCTGTCATAGTTTGGTGTGCTGGAAAGCCTCTTTTTGCTGGCTGATCGGTCTTTCTTTCTCTGCAGATCCAAAGAGAAAAAAGAAAAAAAAAAAAGTAAACATTTTCCTACCGACACAAACCAAGTAGCAACATATGTACAAAATCATATTCCATGCTGATAAACAGGGCAACAGCAAAAAAAAAGCATATCAAATTTAATAGCCAACTTACACTATTCCGACTATTCCATGATGAAGGAGCAAAAGGTTTCCTGCCACGTGTTGCCTGTTTTCTGTCACCACTATAATACGGTTAGAACACATTGTGAGTACTGTGTACAAAGCTGACATACAGAAAACTACAGATGGCACAAGAAAATTATACCAAGCTATTTACATATAAAATTTGTTGTATGATAAAACAATGATATATTACACATTAACTTGCCTGGCCTAAAAAATACCTAAAAAGATAAGTCGCGCTGGAGTGCAGGCACCAAATGCTACTATCTTCAAATCAAACTCCTTGGAACATTATGGAACCAATACAGTGCCTTAAAAGTATTCAGACCCCTTGAAATTTTACAAATTTTGTCATGGTACAACCAAAAAACATAATAGTATTTTATTTGGATTTTATGTAATAAACCAACACAAAGTGGCACATTTGTATTCAGCCCCCTTTACTCTGATGCCCCTAACTAAAACTAGTGGAACCAACTACCTTCAAAAGTCACCTAATTAGTAAATAGAGTCCACCTGTGTGTAAATTAATATCAATATAAATACAGCTGTTCCGTGAAGCCCTCAAAAGGTTTGTTAGAACATTAGTGAACAAACAGCATCATGAAGGTCGAGGAACACACCAGACAGCTAAGGGATAATGTTGTGGAGAAGGTTAAAGCAAAGCTTGGGATATTATTTTATAACCTAACCCTGAACATCTCATGGAGCACTGTTCAATCCATCATCCAAAAATGGAAAGAGTATGGCACAACTGCAAACCTATCAAGACATGGCCATCCACCTAAACTGACAGGCCGGACAAGGAGAGCATTAATCAGAGAAGCAGCCAAAAGGCCCATGGTGACTCTGAAGGAACTGCAGAGATCCACAGTTCAGGTAGGAGGATCTGTCCACAGGACAACTATTAGTTGTGCACTCCACAAATCTGGCCTTTATGGAAGAGTGGCAAGGAGAAAGCCATTGTTGAAAGAAAGCCATAAGAAGTCCCATTTGCAGTTTGCGAGAAGCCATGTGGGGGACACAGCAAACATGTGGAAGAAGGTGCTCTGGTCAGATGAGACCGAAATTGAACTTTTTGGCCTAAAAGCAAAACGCTAGGTGTGGCAGAAAACGAACACTTCACATCATCCTGAACACACCATCCCCACCATGAAACATGGTGGTGGCACCATCATGTTGTGGGGATGCTTTTCTTCAGCAGGGACAGGGAAGCTGGTCAGAGTTGATGGGAAGATGGATGAAGCCAAATACAGAGCAATCTTACAAGAAAACCTCTTAGAGTCTGCAAAAGATTTGAGACTGGGGCGGAGGTTTATCTTCCAGCAGGACATCGACCCTAAACATACAGCCAGAGCTACAATGGAATGGTTTAGAGCAAAGCATGTTCATGTGTGTCAGAATGGCCCAGTCAAAGTCCAGATTTAAATCCAATTGAGAATCTGTGGCAAGACTTGAAAACTGCTGTTCACAGATGCTATGCATCCAATCTGACAGAGCTTGAGCTATTTTGCAAAAAAGAATGGGCAAAAATATCACTCTGTAGATGTGCAGAGCTGGTAGAGACATCCCCAAAAGACTAGCAGCTATAATTGCAGCGAAAGATAGTTCTACAAAGTATTGACTCAGGGGGGCTGAATACAAATGCAAATGTAAGGAACGGTCTGGCTGCAATACACTGTAGTAGCTTGTGCTACATACAGTAAAGCAGTGCAAACTTCCTGCAAAGGTACCACTACTTCTCTGCTGCCCATTGTTAGATGGGGACTTTTGCCACTGAGGGACAACCTTGTATTATCATCAATAAAAAACAAGGTGTTCTCTGGCTGAGGTGGAGATAGTGTCCTAAGCGAAGTCAAGAATCCCTTGTATTCAGATAATAATACAAGGTTGTTCCTGCCTGTCTGAGGTGCTGCATAACTGACTGTCTCTGCTTGTTGTATGTAGCAAAAGCTACTGCAGTGTATTACAGCATCCCAGCGGCCATATTATTTATTTTACAATGGTAAGTATTATTTTTAACCAAGCTGGCCCAGACAATCTATTTAAAAATGACAGGAAAGCCAGAGTTCTGCTTTGCTTAGATGTGAACTTGTGCTTTGCAAATGCGGAGCAAAGCAAAAAAGTTTACTGTAAATCTTCCCCTCTCCGGCACCACTTTGCCTTGCCTTCAATCCCCTAACACTCTGCTGAGAGAAAGCTAAAAAACCATGTGTAAGCTACAAGATGTGGGCTATAGGGTATGGACTCTGCCATCTGACAGTAGTGGTGCTTGGTGACTAAAAAACCAGTGCGGTCACAGAATAAATCACATGCTACATCATAGGTAAGCATAGGTTATTTGGGGGGGGGGGGGGGGGGGGGGGGGGATTAATGCAAAGCTATTGCTTTTCCCCGTCATAGATGTCTGGTCTTCTACAAACTAATTTGCAAATTATCAGCCCTGCCAGATTTTCAAACAGACCAAAACATTATTTGTTTGGCTTGCCAGGACAGATGGTCTAAAATATCAAAAGAAAAAAAAATGTTTGCATATATATTGCATCATTAATTCTTAGGGTTATATGGCCTTCCTACATCAAAGCCTTCATTAAATGCAGATCTACACATCTGGACACTACAAAACAAAAAGAAAAAAAACACTAATTAATTTTTTAGTATTCAAAGTAAATAACTCCCCCCATCCATCAATGTCTCCAAGCTTTATTTTGCTAAGAAGTTACTTTGAAAAACACTCCCTAGCCTTTTTGGCCATGGCCATCTTGAGTAAGGGCAGATGATTCATGCAACATTTACTTCCTGGAATCCATCTAACCTCAGCTCAGGCATGCAGGCAGGAGGGTGTCCTTAGCTGAGAAAATCCCTCCTTCCCTCCTGAATACTCCTGGGATGTATTACATAATTTGCATAGGCACAGAAACCAGGAAGTAACTGAAGCAATAGAGAAAGTTCAAAACAAGCAAATATGATATACCTTCCTATTGATTTAGTAATGCTAGCAGCATAAGGATTGAAAATAGTCAATGTTGATTGAGAGAATGAAGTTCCACTTTAGCTTCTTATCAGAGTCGCTTTAACAAAACAACTTCATACTTGCCTCAGGCAGAAGTAGAGTTGCATTCTCAGTATATAAGAGCTTTTGTTTTTTATTTCACAATATTTTAGTACTGCACTATAGTGCCACTTCATTAGACACCCTGTAACTGCTTGGCTGAACTATAGACCCAGTATAGACAGTATGTAACATTACCTGCTGGGTAATGGATCAACATACTCCATTTCATCTCCAGAACTTTGATAGGATCGATGACTTCGAAGACTCTCAACTATTACAAAAAGAAACATAGATAGGCAGCTAAGTCATGCTCATGTAAACTCCTATTATAAGTTCAGGTGCTACTTGTCTAGAAGCGTTGTAGAATGATCCTCTAAGTAGAGAAGGCATACAAAAAAGTATTATGATGCAAAGGTGACCCACCTGATGAACTGCGTCTCTGTCCTCTTATATTAGATGGGGATGCCAATGCTTGTCGGCCTCTGCAATAAGTGGTTAAACGGTTTAGAAGGCTAATAGAAGCATAATGAACCCTTCACAAATATTTGTAATACACATATATTTTGTTATGTACTTGTACCTACTGAAAATTACAATAAAAACTATAAAAAAGCTAAACAGAAAAGTTTTGAATAGACAACTACAAGGGAAGTAGGGGTAAAGCCGGCTGATTGATTTTAGTAGCACTTAGATGCAGAAGTGAAGCAAACACTCGTGTGACGGAGCAAAGTTGCACACTACTTTCAAGTGCTTTCCATGTGGGCTTCAATAAATTAAATTCAATAGGTAAATATACACTGCATATGCGCACAGGTATGTGCAGAGTTAAATAGCTCTATAAAGAGCCCTCTAAATTCAGACAGGCACAAGCACAGACATCACCTGTGTGAAAAAGGCCCAAAGGTAGATGAGCAATTGAAAAAAGGTGTAGTTACTCACTTCTTTAAGTCAGCCTCCTTCTGTTTACGTTCTCTGTCTCGGATGTAGGCTGTAGGATCAAACCGTGGAGGGCGGATAGCTAAAAGGTAGCACAAATTAAAAGAGGTACATTAAATGCTTGAAAAAGAGTCTATATAGTTTTTATATATGCTTTATATAAAAGTAGACAGCAAAAAAAGTATGCAAACTGTTCCTTCAGACTAATGCTCTAGTCACATTATAGTGGTACAGTCTCAGTACAATATCAAGCAGGCTTCTTGACAAGGTCTTCCTGGCTGGAAGAAAAGCTGGTTATAAACATGGATATGAAGTAGAAATATGTAAGGATAAAGGGGAAGAGAAGTCATACATGGTGTCATTCAAGAAAAGATGTGGGGATATTGGTGAGGGAGGTAGGTAACAGGCAAGTCACAAAGGAAATGAGAGATTGCGGGGGGGGGGGGGGGGGGGGGGGGGGGGGGGGGGGGGGGGGGGGGCAGCCTCGCTGTACTGTAGATGTACCCAGTAGAACCACTTCTGACAAAAACGTCTTCCATGCTCTAGCCATACGTTTAATTTCATTTCACTACATGTGTGAACTACTATGACTGCAGAGAGCGGGGTAAGCAACTTCTTGACCATGTGTAAGTGACAGGCAGATCGCAGGGTTGACCTCAGGTGGGAAGCTATCACAGCTGACAGCCAATCACAGGCAGTGAAAGAGTTTCTCTGTTGAGCTCTGTACACTGCATTACTGTCCTCCACCCTGCTGACCCCTTTACTTGGCCCTAGAAACTACTGAGCCATGTACACTGCCCTAGGTACTAAAAGACCTCTGTACACTGCCCTACATTCTACTGACCTCTGCCCTACATTCTACTGACCTCTGCACTCTTTATTTCACAGGCCATTCACAGGCTACAAATTGGAGATACTAGACGTCTGACTCCTTGCTAGCACACCCCCTATGAATACGCGCATATAGCACGAAACGTGTAAGGGAAAGAGCTGAGGAGTCCAGACGTCACGTCGCCGTGTCCCTACATGGGCCGGTGGCTATCTTGAATCCTTTCATGGTCAGTGCTTTCTTTACCTATGTCTACTACGGATCAATACATTTCATTTTAAAACGATATCACACCATTCTGGCATCCTTTCTTGGGACTCTTGCTGAGCCCACCACCCACAGAGTTCTCAGGGAAGGGAGTCCAGAGGTGCAGTATCGGTACCGGATGATCCAGAGGGAACCCCATAAAGGATAGAAGTACCCAGAGGGAAGCCCAGAGATGGTAGACGTACCCATAAGATGATTCCACTGAACCATGGATATGATACATGTTTCTATATGCATATTGGAATTATGCATCTGGTGAGTGTATAATTCAAATATCTGATCACCAGAAGACGCACAGTGGATCACATAGGTCATTTATTTAAATAGATTGACACTTTACATTACATTACATTGGGATTACATGCGTATAAAGACTGTGCTATTGTGATTACACTATTAATAATCTTTTTTTTTTTTTTTTTGTTATATCAGCATTTGCATTTCATATCTGATTATCATTAGTACAGCGCTGCAACTTTGTTGTCAGTTTGACCTCTGCACTCTGCCCTACATACTTTTAAACCCTGGACACTGCCCTACATATTACTTACACTGGCCAGGTCTCAACCCAGCCAGTCAGGCTGGAACTCGGAGGAGAGGGCCAGGCCTGAAAATAGTTGAGCCTGCAGTACCAGTTTTGCTTTCATGATGGACTCTCATGATGACCAATCACTTTCCAGACAAGCAAATTGTGAATGAAAGTGAATGGCAAGTTTTTCACTGATTCAATAGTGTCCTTTGTGCTTCAATAAAGTCTCTCTGTGCCCCCATTGTTGCAAACCTGTTAATGGCAAAATGGGAAGCAGAAGAAATATATGGGAAGAACAAGTCTTTTACAGGCGCTTTATAGATGATATTATTGTAATCTGGAAAGGGAGTGAAAATACATTAAGGCAATTCATGGAGGAATAGTAATGCATATGGTATCACATTTTCGGGAGTTTGGAGTCAAAATGAAACACTTTCTAGACCTGACTATATATGCATCTAATAACAGATATACAAAAACATTTTTTTAAAGAGACATATCAGAACAGTTTCCTAGCTACCCATAGTTGTCACCACCCAAAATGGGTTAGTAACGTCCCTAAGGGACAAATGATTAGAATGTGACGGATCTGCGATCTGGATGAGGACTACTTTACCCAGAGGAACATTTTAATGGATTGGTTTAATAAAAAAGGAAACAAGGAGCAAAAATTTATTCAAAAGAGAAGTAGCAGAGATGAATAGAGAGGAACTACAAAAAAAAAAAAAAAAAAAAAAAAAAAAAAAACACCAGAGGACATGAAAAAAATAACATGAAAACGAACATGGAATTTGCATGTGTAACAGATTTTAATAGAGGCTGTAGAAAATTGGAGAAGACAATAACTATTGGCCAATCCTTTTGAAGGATAAGAAGGATAAGATATTGGGAAAAAAAAACTACCCCAAAAAACCTAAATTTAATTTATAGGAGGGCCAAATGTTTAAGAAGCAAGATGAGAAGTGTACTAGACCCCCAACACCCCCCCCCCCCACAGAGTGAAAAAGTTACCTTCCTAGATTTAAAAGGGTATCATAGGTGTAAAACATGCGTTTCTTGTAGGACAAGTGATCATACAGGAGAGGAAAAGAAAACATTTCAAGTCAAATAGAACTGGGAAGGTATATGGAATTAAACATTGGATTACATGCAAAAGTACGCTTGTCACCTATGTACTGGAGTGCAGTTGTGAACTGCAGTACGTAGGGCGTACAACCAGACAATTAGGGATCAGAATAAGGGAACACATGAACAGCATAAAAAAAAGGGATATGAAAAACAGTGTGTCAAAACATTTAGAAAAATATAATAAAGATGCCAGTCAATTGGTATTTTATGGTATTGATAAGGTCCAAGAAAACTGGAGAGGGCAAGATAAGAAGAAACAGTTATCGCAAAATGAATTCATTTATTATACACTTTAACACCAGTGGAATTGAATATAGATATTAATTGTTTTATCAGAAATTATTGATATGTATAACATGGTCTATGGTATGACATCATGATCGATATGTGTATTGCATGTCATAATATGTATGAGGGGATGTGGAAGAATTGCTTAGAGAGGTTTATTAGAGATTAACCCAGGTAACCACTTGCCCATCAGGCATTTTACCCCCTTCCTGCCCAGACCAAATTTTCAGCTTTCAGCGCTCTCATACTTTGAATGACAATTATGCGGTCATACAACACTGTACCAAAACTACATTTTTATCATTTTTTTAAGACAAATAGAGTTTTCTTTTGGTGGTATTTGATCACCACTGGGGTTTTTATTTTTTTGCTAAACAAACTTAAAAAAAGACCACAAATTAAAAAAAAAAAAAAAATAAATATAAAAAATATAAAAGATAGAGTGAGTATGTATGCATGCTAGTTTTGTTTTTTTTTTTAAAGGATGATGCACCCTAGTGATCTTGGATCTATTTCATGTTGTTCACATGGATCTCCACCTCTCAAAAAGTTGCCTACCCCTGGCCTAGGGGGGTTTTTGCTTATGCTGAGATACATGCTCTGGCAGTATTCACCAGGGTGCTTATATAGTTCTTATATGTTTTCTGTTGTGGTGGAGCAGGAAGGAGGCAGGTTCATCAGGGACATGAACGTTCGTAACTTTTGTGAATGATTTTTACATCATTCCAGATGCTCAGAAAGCCTGGGACATAGACCCACAATACCAACATGTCCAGGGTATAGACAGAGAGAAGGAAATGAAAAATGTTATGGACCCTATACCACCTCCTTAGGAGCTTTTAACCAGTTTCCTGAATGTTAATATTAATTTATGATTTATATGCAAAAGTATAATATCCACTCCTCATGCTCTTGTGTGAAGGATAGTTGTTATTCCCTTTCCCATTTCTGTAGAAATAGCAAGAGTTGTGTCTCATAACTGGTTGTGTATAATGCACAGAGGGTATGTCTAACTGGACCCTGTTCCTCACACATAGATTCAAAGGTCGCATGTAGCGCTCAAGTGGAGGGAAAGAATGCAGGAAATGTTGACGTTGGACGTCCTCTAAAATCCTAGTTCAGAGTATGTTGGGTTTGATTGCACCTCTGGCAGAGGCATATAGTTTTTTGACTATCAAAAGAAGGCAGTGCTTACCCCATTGGAGAAGGCGATAACCTTGGCTGCCTAGTCCTTCCTTCTCCAGAGCTCAGTCCACTTCGTTCCCGGGATGTTGACCTCTCTCTTCGAACACCAACCTCTCCACGAGAGTTACTGCGTTGAATAGGCCCCCGGCCAGCAGAACTGGAACGGCTCTGTGATGATGGGCCAGTTGGTGTGACACGTCTATAAAATAGCATAAGGAATGAAAGTAAATATGAAGCTCTCATAGCCTTCTTCAGTGCAAAAAAACAAAAAACAAAACAAAAAAACAAAAGATAACCCCAGTCAGGCCTCAAAAGCTAAAGGTCTTATTTCAAAACTGTCTACTCCCCTGTTGTACATTTATACATAGGCAAAATTAGACCACATTCTGTCCTGCACGCTGAAGTGCATCACCTGGCTCGTTGTGCTAATGAATCAAATGATTGGAAGTAGTCTGGCACACCAGACTCAACCTTGCTGACACCCAGGGATCTGCTTCAACTGTGCTCTGTTCTCTCAAAGGACCCAGGGGACACCAGTGGCTACAGTATTGTCAGCATACATCGAGGGCTCTTCCACTAAGCCACATCTCCTGAGGAAACACAGGGGAGGACTCTGAGCCTGAGCAAAATAAGGGAGGGCACCACTACAGCCTCTGTACCCATGAGGATAGGCGATTCAACTCAGGCAGAGAAGAGACCTTGGGGAAAACAGAGAAGGTGATGGGGACGGAAGGTCCCCAACAAAGATATTAACAAAAAAAATTAAAAAGAGAAAAGACGTTAATCCTAGCCAGGAAAAGAGCAGATGCAACCTCTACAGGTCCACTGTTCTAAAAACCATGGGGTAGCACATAATAAAAGACCCCTGCAACTAGAATCAAGGACTGAGAGAAAATTACAAATGGTTTTGGTGTTCCTGTTAGAGTGGAGGAAACAGAAATAACTGGGGTGACAATACTATTTTTTTTAGAAGGATATTTCCTATTTAGGTGGAGCCTCTCACATGCTCTGTACAGGAAGAAGATTGAGGGGGAAAAAAAAAATGTTTTCAAATAGGTTTCCTCACCCTCTTTTGTACATAGCTAGCTCCGTGGTCAGACTCTTCACCTTCAAACGAAGGGTCCTTTCCAATGCTCGTGCTTCTTCCAGCTAAATCAGGGACAAAAGCAGACAGTCAGTAGGTGTAGAAACCAGAAACTCATACGAGCTCCAATAATGCCTCTATCAGCTGCACATTGCATACAACAGTTGTCAATGGTAAGCGTTTTCTGTGGCTGATGCTACTAAAAAAAAAAATCTAATCCACAGAGCTCATAATAAACACCTACCTGATCCACTCTGCCTGGTTTGGCATATTGTGCATAATGAAGCATATTGAAGCCCACTCCAACCATTTTTTAAATGATGTCTATGCTGACCAGTCCTAACTACCAGAAAATGGATTTTATTGCTATCTGATTAGATTGTATGGGGATTTAAAACATATACAAAGCATGGGTCGTCTCTGCAGACAGTGCTTTACCTAATTATTCATGCTCACCTGAGCTACTGTACCTGGAAAGGGTTCCCCTGGCTGCCAATGAGAGCTAAAGCTAGGAACAGGTAACCTAGCAGTTATGTTGAGAGCTTACAAGTGTTGTAATATAAATGTCCTAATAAGGGATTGTGGACTTGCTTCACGTCAGGATTTAGAAACGACCCTGAAAATCTGCAGGCTGTAAGGAATGCACCCCTACAGTTTTATAGCTACTATACAAAAAAAAAACACTATTAGTGGCTTGTAGAAGAAAAATGATCTTTATACAATTTTCATAATAAAAATGTAATTATTTCAGAACGGAAGGAAAATATTATTGCAAAACTGATCTTTACCTGCTCTGTTAGCTGACGGCATTCCTCCCTCCTCTTACTGGCGAGTCGCTGATTCCGGCTTCGCTCTTTTTGTAGCTCTGACTCCAAGGTCTGTACTGCCCTCTTTAGGATTCTAGCGTGGCTGGCTTCCTTTCCATTGGGGATTTCAATGTCCTGTAGCCTCTGTAAAGTAAGCTCAGCCTCTCGTTTCTCCTCAGTTACCCTGTGCAGCCTGCATATCAAATGCAGTGCCAACAATTAGAGAACAGGAAACACTTGTAAAAAACAGACTACTAAGGTCCTTCATGTTACTGCAGTACTCACTCTTCACGCAGATGTCTGATTTCAGAATCTTTGTTCTCTTCATTGGGTGCTAGCTTAAGAGCAGCAAGCTCCTCCTTGAGCCCTCTAATCACTTGCCGTAAATAGACAGGGTCTGGTTTACCAACATAGGGCAGAGGTAGAGGATAATGTATTCTGTAAACATAAACTAATCAGTGAAGAGGAATTTTTTTTTAGTAAATCTTAATGACACAGAAATGGCAATAAGATTCACCTGTCAAACTCTACAGAGTAGATAAGAATAAGGTATCGCTTGGAACTGAGTGTTGAGCTTTTGGCTGGGGGGGGCTGGCGCTGAGCCCCACCAGCCTTTCTATGGCGTAGTAATTCCAGGTCTGCATAGGTCAGGAGGTCAAGTGTTACTGATTCGCTGGTCTAGGAAAAACAAATGGAAAATCATAGTTTTAAAATACATAACTTCATTTATGAATGCTAAGCAACAACTGAAGGATCTTATCAGTAATACCCTTACTCTAAAGTTATGTCAATAGTACAGCTTCATATCTTAAAGTATATGCTAACCCTCACCTTGTATAACAACCAATGCCATTAAAAATACAACCGAAAGGCAAAACATTTGTGTGTATACATATAAAAAACATGATAAATACATTTTTCCCCCTTTATAAAAGATGATCACATACCATCTGTTCTCAACTGCATAAGGAGCTCAGGGTAGAGAAGGAGCAGCACACTGATCTTCCCAGTGAATGACTGTGCAGGGGGGGGGGGGGTTGTTTCAGGACAAGTCTGATCATTGAAGGAAAGCAGGCAGAGTTCTCAGCACAGCCAGAACACTGACCACGCTGTGCTCTCATGCCTAATGTGGTAAGCTTTTTATAGGCAGCAGAAGGACTGTCAGGAACACCAGGGATTTCACACAAAGGAAGCAATACAAAGAGAACAGGATACTTTTCATAAATGTACATGGTACAGCAGGCACATATCAGGAATATTGGGTTTACATACTCTTAAACTAGCCATAGATTATGCAATTTCTGTACAATCTCCTTTAGATTTACTCTCAACTATGTAGTGCAAGGAACAGAAAATTGATGTTGTGCTAATCACAATAATGCCACAGACATTCCAAAACAAATAATAAGATGAGAAGACAATCGACAATACACCATAACAATCAGTAAATGGAAGGAATGTGGGAGTAAAGGGAAAGATGAAATAATAAAAAGGTCCAAAATGAGGACCACAAGGTGTAACAGAGAATAAACCGTGACCGTGGGCAAAACGCACGGAAAAGATCAGGGAAAAAAAATATTTTAACTAAATCACAGTAATATAGTGGGACATATGAGTCCGTCATAACATAAAAATGGGTCTGGGCACGGAGGTGAGGAGGCATTTTAGCCGGTGTGGGATTCACTAATCATTTACCTATCCACATTTTTTTGGGGGGTTTTTTGGACGCGTTTTTGTTGGACGTTTTTGCACATGGACTTTGTCGCATTTATGATTTTTTTTTTTTAGTCACGTTATTTATTTCTTCACTGTGTTACTGTATTTTACGGTCCACAGTAATACATTGATTTGGTTTCACTGTGCGTTTGTATCACCATTTTCTGTTTTATACTAGTTGCATTCTATATATGTTTGCCACATTAATTTATGGTATTTATATGGTCACTTATTAGTCGTTTTATGTCACATGGCCTTTTGATGCACATTGTGTTATGATCCTTTAGTCGCATGGTCACATTTTTTGGCCTCACTGTGAGTTGTTATCGTCATTCTTCTGTGAGAAGTGGTTTGTCCACTTTTAATATTTAAGCACTTCATTTCACATTTTGCTTCACTTTCTCAACAGTTGTATTCACATTTTTTAATTTATGTTATAATGGAATCATATGTGCCACTATTACTGTGATTTAGTTAATATTTTATTTTTCCCTAATCATTTCCGTGCGTTTTGCCCACGGTCACGGTTTATTGTCTGTTACACCTTTTGGTCCTCATTTTGGACCTTTATTATTTCATCTTTCCCTTCACTCCCACATTCCTTCCATTTACTGATTATGTTATGGTGTATTATCTATTGTCTTCTCATCTTATTATTTGTTTTGGAATGTCTGTGGCATTATTGTGATTAGCGCAACATCAATTTTCTGTTTGTTGTTTTTTGCTAGTGGTATAGCCAGGTGTGTGCTGCTGTCCCAATAGTCCCATCTTTTCTAGTAGCAGTGCGAAAAGTTTTTTACATATGTAGTGCAAGGGCCTGCCTCATTGGATACAGATAAAAGTGGTGTTTAGGCTTGACCTCAGATGTAAATGGATTTTGATAAAATTGTCTGAAGGAAAATTGTACAATGTATGGCCAGCTTTAGGATTTCATTCTTGCTGGTGGCAAATCATCAGGCAAGTGACAGATTAAATCGTACTAGCTTGTGCAGTTGCTGGAGCAGAAACCTAGAAGCTCATCAATCCAGCTCTAGGCCAAGGTATTATTGACAGCTATGGTTTCAGCATGAACCCTTCTGGGATCTACCCCAGCTACAGAAACCAGCTGTCTTTTAAAAAACCACTGTTGGGAGTGGGAACTGCAATCCCAGTTCTGTTGCTTCACCTTAGGCAGAGGCGAGACCCTCCCAGGCAATTGGGAGTGAAGTGGTTAAATTACAATGCAACTCCAAAACAAAATTATATATAAAGCATGTTACCTGAGTAAGTGCAGAGTGCAGCATGTTACAAAATATTGAAAACTGCTTGAAGTTTCCAGTCTTGTGTGTAAGGTCTTCAATAACTGCAATGAAATGCAGATCAGAGATACTCATTTATACCAAAGAATGAGGGTAACAAAGTGCACTACAGACAAAATCTATACATACACCTCATCAAATGAAATGAAGTTGACACAAAAACACAAGAACCTATGCTTCATTGTTATTTAGTAACACTCACACTCTGCATCAAACTCGCCCCTCCACTGGTCAGTTGTGAGGGGCATCTTCAACTTCTACTTCTAGGTGACCATCAGTGTTTCGGATACGCAGAATGTGTTCTATGCCTCTAAACACGCATCGTGCTTCAGCTACTTCACCCTCATCCATTTTAGAACCTGAAACAAAAAAAAAAATGCCAACACATACAGAACAAAACATGCATGATCAGTAACTGGGTGTATATATATATATATACACATCTATCTATGGGGAACAAAAACTCAACTGTCTTATAATAGCAAGATTGTATGCTCTCATGAACAGGGCCCCCATAACACTCGTCTTGAACTGTTTTGTAGCTGCACTGTCTCCCTTTATTTTGTAAAGCACTGTGTAAAATGTTTATAATTGCTTTATAAACTGTACATAATATGTTAGATTCAGGAATCATGGGAGTGTATTACAGTGCAACTGATGTAGGGTTTCCTGTAGCTGTGATACTACTAATGACAGCAAGTTCTGTATTAAATATGAAGTCATTCTACCTTCTGTTAAAACAACCCCTGGAATTACTGTCAAGCTTCAGGGAATTATAGGGGTGGAAACTGCAACATTCAAAGAAGTCCTAAAATGTTGTTTTGTAGAACCTCTCGAATGTTTCAGCAGTAGAGCCTATACTTACAGTTCCTCATCAGCCAATAACCACACATTCTTCTCCTCGGGATAAAGAGCTAAATCAGCATCCAACCATAGCATTTTCAGCATACACTCTTAGCAGGACTACAATTTTCTTCAGTGCAGTGGCTGGTGGTTGTGCATCCCTTTCCCCAATTACTCTGCCACTCGAGCCCCAGAGGGATGAACAGAGTGAAGCAATTATTTTTTCATTTATTTATACAATTCTCACAAATTCAGCAAAAAAGGCCATTCACCTCAGACTGATTCTAATTCTAATGCTTTCATACATTGCATTCAAGTATGTAGATCAGGAGTTTCACTTCCTTTTGATTTTCCCATCTGCATATTTGCAACCACTATATAGTACAAGTGTTATTTTACAGTGGGGAAAACAATTATTTGATCCCCTGCAGATTTTGTAAGTTTGCCCACTTACAAAGAAATGAAGGGTCTGTAATTTTGATCATGGGTGTATTTTAAATAATAGAGACAGAATATCGACCAGAAAAAAAACAAAAACAAAAAAAAAAAACAAAAAAAAAAACAAAAAAAAAAAAAAACACACAACAAAAACACACGATACAAATGGTATAAACTGAGTTGCAGTTCAGCAAGTTAAATAAGTATTTGATCCCCAAGCAAAACCCGAATTTGACAGGTACCTGCTCCCACTTACGCTGCGATCACCTAGGCGATCGGAAGCAGAATTTGTCCTCCTACCCTCCCACCCCAAAGTCTTGTGGATCACGTGACAGGTCCCAGAAAATGACGGGGCCATTCATGTAACGCAGCGTTACTCGCACATGCACAGTGGGCACCCGGCTGTTAAGCCACTAGCCGTCACAGTCGGGTGCCCACACTGAAGATGCCAGCTCCTGGAATACAGGACGGCCGGTGAAACGGGCTGCAGTGGGGGCAACGCGGGAACGAGGGACAGATGAGTGACTGTTTTTTAAAAGTCAGCAGCTACAGTTTTTGTAGCCGCTGACTTTTATTTTTTTACAGAGTGAGTGGAACTCCGCTTTAAGGTTTCTTGGCTGTCACTTGGAAACTCAAAGTTTCAGCTCCTTCTATAACTTTTCTATAGGATTAAGCTCTGGAGACTGGCTAGGCCATTCCATGACCTTAATGTGTTTCTCCTTGAGCCACTCCTTTGTTGCCTTGGAGGTCATGCTGGAAGACCCATCCACGAACCATCTTCAGTGTTCTGGCTGACAGAAGAAGGTTCTCATTCAACATTTTACAATACATGGCTCCGTCCACTGGCCCCTCAATGCAGCAAAGTCGGCCTGTACCTTTAGCAGAGAAACAGCCCCAAAGCATAATGTTACCATCTCCTTGCTTGACTGTAGGGATGGTGTTCTTAGGGTCATAGTCAGCATTTTTCTACCTCCAAACACAGCGAGTCGAGTTAATGCCACAGACCTCAATTTTGGTCTCATCTGATCACAGCACTTTCTCCCAGTCCTTCTCTGAATCATTTAGATGTTCATTGGCAAACCTCAAATGGGCCTATACATGGGCCTTCTTGAAGAGGGGGACCTTGTGGGCGCTGCAGGATTTCAATTTATGGCGGCGTATTGTGTTACCAGTGATTTGTTTGGTGACTGTGGTCCCAACTGCCTTGAGATCATTCACAATCTCCTCTCGTGTAGTTCTGGGCTGATCCCTCACTTTTCTCATGATCATCCTTACCCCAGGAGACAAAATCTTTGATGGAGCTCCAGACCGAGGGCGATTGATGGTTATTTTGTATTTCTTGCATTTGCGAATAATTGCTCCAACAGTTGTCTCCTTCTCACCAAGCTTCTTGCTGATGGTCTTGTAGCCCATTCCAGCCTTGTGCAGGTCTACAATCTTGTCCCTGACATCCATTGACAGCACTTTGGTCTTGTGGCTCTCCTGAGACTCTCTCACCTCATTGGCTGAGAAAACAGCAGCAGGAGCCATTGGCTCTCACAGCTGTCAACTGCAGCCAGTGAGGAGGAAGTGGGGGGTGGGACTGAGCCACACTGTGTGTCCCACAGACTCCAGAGGCTGCTCGGGAGCGAGCAAGGCACTTGGCAAGGGGGAGGGGACAGAAGCAACAGCAGGGGACCCGAGAAGAGGAGGATCGGGACTGCTCTGTGCAAAATCATTGCACAGAGCTGGTAAGGATGACATGTTTGTTATTTTAAAGAAAAAAGGGTTGAGCCTTTAAAACCACTTTAAGGGAACCTTGCTGTGCCTTATTTACAATTAGGCATATCATCGATGATCGGTGCAGTGAACCCAAGTCATCTACAGTAATATTACTGGTATAATGCAGCCACCTTGTGTATGCATATTGTTTCCTTAGGTCCTAGACCCAGGTTGTATACCAACCTCCACTTTGGCATTCTGCTCTCAAAGTGTTATGATTAAATCACTTCCTATCCCAGGACATGAAGGGAAATCTCCCCAGCAGGAGCACAGAGAGTATAAAAAAACAGTAAGGCTACTTTCACACAGATGGACTTTGCCAAGCGGATCTGCGTGCTCAGCAGGGGAATCTGTCCGCTGATCCCCACTGAGCATGTGGATGGCAAGTCCACATCCGTTCTGCTTGTGCAGAGTGGACACGGACACAGCCCACTGTCTTCTGTGGGGCAGTCAGATGTAAACTGACCGCCTGTCCATTTACATCCAACTGTCACTGTTGGGACTGATTATTTAGAGGACATTGTATCTTGTATATCACACAAAATCAACCAATTGTATACAAAACAAATGCACTGCAATAGGCGCCTCTATACAAGTGGTCAGGGAATATACTGTAGCTTTGTGCAGAATCACCTATAGCAGTCCCTGATTCTATAAGCCGTGCAAGTCTAGCCTATTGATTTGCAGCTGCCCCCCAGGAATGCCATGTTCACTGTCCTGCAGTACAGGAGGCTAAAGAAAGGAAGAACAAAAGAGTTCCTGTGATTTCCGGAGTTCAGCAATCTGCAGGGGACGGCTGGGACTGGTGTCCTACAGAAACATAGGCAGGTGGGTCAGTTTGGGCGCAGGTAGAGTAATGGTCAGCAAACAGGGCAAAGACAAAGCAAACAAGGTTCTATTCTGGGGTAGTGAACAGGATTTTGTTTACACTGTGATAGCGTGTAACATTAATGATCTCCGTAAAAGCAATAATTTTGTCATGAATGGCCTTTATTCATGGTTGACTATTGTAATTGACTGTGACTGGCCACAGCTATCACATGGTATAGGGACACTGATTGCCTCTGTATCATGTGATCACTGTGGCCAAAGATCACAATAGTAAACAATGCTATCAAAAATTGGAATTGATTCCATTCATGACAGTCGTTTACTACTGGATATGTGATAGTTGCGATTGGTTACAGAGATCACATGGTACCCGGGCCAATCACAGTGGGTCCCTCTGAAAAGCTGGCAGGTGGACTTGATTGTTACACCCATTTGAAAAGGGGCCTAAATTAATATTCAGTTTTTTTTTAAGCAGCTCTTCTGCCAGGAGAAATGGCATTCAGAGGGACTAAACAGACGACCCATGTGCATGAGGTCTAAGATGACAGCTTTCACTACTGTAAAAGATAGGAGGGTTTAGTTCTACTTTAAGTAGTAACAAACTGTGAGCAGGCAGGTCTTTATTGTAGGAAAAAAAAAAAACATGCTATGTCACTTCGGCAATAACAAACACTTAGGCTTCTTGTACACTGCAGTTTGAAAAAGCTCAGTAAAGCTTTTTTTTTTTTTTTGTACTGATCTAAAATGATTGTTCCTGTTTTTTGGCAAAGATCAGTCATTTGGCAGAGTGTGCAGGAGCTGAGCGATCATATAACAGCCTATGTAGTACGGAAAACAAGAAAACTGTGTGCATGGAAATCTGTAACGCTCACTATACGATATACAATCTGATTGTACAATCTCCTTTAAATCTACCATCAACTATGTAGAGCAAGGGCCTGCCTGATTGGATGGATAGATGTGCCCTCCTATTACAAAGTTTGGGTAAATTTAAAAGCAAAATCAGATTGTATAGTGTATGGCCACTTTTATACACCTAAAATTAACTAGTCGCGCTTTTGGTGCCATTAACTGTTAATGGCACCTCAAACCTAGAAGCAAACCACATTTTTCTGCATGAGCAAATTAACTGACACATGCAGCAACACGCAGAAAAATAATGTGCAAACCACAACACTCCAAAAATATCCCATGAGCTACTTTGCCATGTGTAGTGCAGCCTATTGAAATAGATGGGCAGCCCTATGCGTGTTGTGGAAAATGGGGCCTGAAAGTGAAATTGCGTTTACACAAGAGCAATGAGGCTCCATTCACATCTGCAAATGGCAAACCGCATAGAAAATGCATGCTGTGGTGTGCACTTTGGAAACACGCTGCAAACACACATCGTGCTTTGGTTGTAATTGAATGTTAATGGCACCCCATGTACAGGTAGCAGGCGCATGTCTGCCACGTGGCAAACACACTAAAAAATGCAG